AAACATAATTTCTCTGGACAAATGTATAGCTTTCTTGAAGTATTAAAGCTACGACATCACCGAAGTAAAACGTACGAGGACAAATATGTTATCCATGATAAGAATCAACATACTGTACTTGCAAACAGCTCTAGTCAAACAGCCGGGCCCCGCGTCACAATATAGAATGCAAATAAGCAACATGTTCACGGAAAGTTTCATATTTTGTCCCGCGAAGGCAAATACTTAGAGACTTAAAAACATATCTTGCAATAGAAATGAGCCTAAACAATACATAAACACATGACAAATTACAGAGGTGTCAAACTCGGCGAAGCGACATGCCGATAACAGCGGAAATCATGCAGACCTACAAATGACCTCTAAAAATCTCTGCTATAGCACGGTTTAACGGCTCAACTCTACTTAAAATTCCTCCTAATAACACAACATGAATTGCCCCTCATAAACACGAGTGAAGCAGCAAGAAAGGTCAAGAGACCGAACAGAGAACGGCAAATGTACAAATGTCACGAACCGCAGGAGCCGTGTACGGCTCTTGTCAACCCCATTTTACAACGATAAGCATGTTCTTCGACTGGACATTGCAAACTCCAGTTACAATTAGCATGAACGACTAAGCGAACAGGATGGAACGGTCCTGTTTGGTGATCGTCGTTTTGTTTATCCGAAGGACTGATCACATCGTAAGCATACAATCGGAAAACTAGGTAGCTTGTTCGGAGTCTTCGAGTGGACAAGGTTGGAAGTGAGAGGTAAAATGCCGACACGAAAACCGGTGGCTGAAAGTTTCTTGTGCCAACTTTCCAGTTGATCCAAGTCTTCAGATTTTTCTGGCTTTACTCCACTGGATATCCTGGAGTTTTCTTCCCAGGACTTCCTTCAAATTTGTTGTCTGGTGATCTTGTTTTCACCGTCAAGACCGCTCGCGCTATCAACGTCGCCCGGCATCGCCTAGATCTTCGACCAAAATCCAAAGGTTTCCTTGCTTTCTTCGGGCCCCCTCCTCCAGCCAGGTCCGAATTCCCTACTGAACGTTTCATTTTACAAGACGTTACATAGCAACAAGAACGAAAAACCACCAAACAAAGCACAAAAATCCACAACATTAACAAACCAGACTAAGAAAATACAAGGCGATTCAACATGTATGGATGCCATTTTCAAGTTGTCTATTACTTTATCAACTTCCAGTTAGCTGATACCCAGTTTCCCGCAATTGTAAGATTGGAAAAGGGATCAAAATAGAAAGGAAAATGGGAGAAGGAGTAGAGATCAGCCTTCCCCTTTGTTTCTTTTATGCGGACGTCAGCGAAAACAAGATTATTTTCGCTGGAAATTAAAGAACTCTTGCAGATATCACTGTTCTAAAAATAAAAAGATACAGGGAAGGATTGACTCAAGGGCACAATTCGTATAGCTGGTTTTTACATGACGTCACTAAAATTCGAACTACAAAACTATTGATCTTCCTGAGATCTTACTTTAATGATGTATAAGAGTAGCTGAAAACTAATATTCATAAAAAATTTCGCTCCGAATAGGTTCGTGGCTTTGTGATTCATTACGCTTGAATTTCGAAACTTTTGCGTGACGCGGCATTTACGGCCTAGAGAGCTGTCATGATGGTTAAAAAAGTGACTTATTTCGGAGAGCTTGGCTATCTGAACAGCTCATCTCTTTGAAAAAGTATTATTTTAATGTTTTAGAGTTCTTCGAGAGGTAAATTCACGCTTTTGTAACAAGACTCAGTGACAGTGTGTTTGCATGTTGGTGCCCGTCCAGTTCGGCACCAGCATGGCGTCTCTACACAAATCTCTATAAATTTGGGTAAAAAATTTCTCAGCATATCTCGGCGGTATGAACACAGTTTTGGGGATATACAAGCGTTGATATCGATCCTCAGTACTTCACATTGCCGTCAGTATTCGATCATGAACAGGTTTCATACTTCGCACGAGTCTCGTGTTCCAGTCGAACATCACAGAACACCTGATGTGTGTCTTTTAGAATACCTTAAGAGTGCCTGCCTGTAAGAATCAGACAAATTCTTAATTTCGCGGCAAGGGTCGAAAATTCGATTTC